TTTGTACAGATCCTGTAAACATTGATGAAAGTTTGATGAATGGTTTTGAAATGTTGTTTGAATCAGTCTTAATAATGTAAAATTATATTACGATTAGAATATCCTCCAAAGGTAGAAAATTTGCATTCCTGTAAATAGTTGTGCCTGATGTTACTCATATTCTAATTTCTGATTTAAAATAAAAGGTCATTTGCAGACTGTGCCCCCACCAAAAATTTTCACCACTGATCCCAGGTATGTTGATCTCGCTTCGTAGTACAGGCCCCTGGTGAATTACTGTTATTATTGATGGTAATGTCCTCATGACTGTAAAAACAAAGTTCTCAGCTTGCTGTATGGCTAACGTAGCTAACATTAGTTTTGATGGTATGCCCACAGATCAGAGCTCTGTGGAAATGGTAACACTGAAGGACATTCATAGATGGAGGAATCTTTAATTTAAACCAATAAACAAGGACTGGGTTACTATAAGACAGCCAAATTCCAAACAAAGCTGTTCTCATTTACAGATTTCTGTTTCTGTTGGCAGGCAGCAGAATGAGGACAGAACAGCGAATGAAACGTAGCCTATTATGACTGCATATTAACCAGCAGTCACTTCAGAGTCATTATATAATCAGAAAAATACTGATTTTATAATGTTGTCTGACAAACTCACCAAACACAAGAGTTAAAAACAAGATATTTACATGTCGGGGTGTTCTGTGCACCAACCAAGGTTTTGTTTGCATCTGCTGTCACACAGATGTCTTCACAAATACGGCAACATCAGTCAAAATTGGTTATTTAACTCATTGAGGTTTATTTGCTGTTTAGTGGGGAAAAAACCTGTATCTGGACTTCCCTACTTTCATCTGTGATGATCCTCAGACAGTAAGTTAGTAAAGTTGTAAAGTCCTCCTGTCACACTCTCATGTATGACTTAGCTGCCATGTGGTTTACTTTTTTGCTGTCAATCTAAGATTCAGAGTGAGTCAGCAACAGCTCAGCAGTATTTCAACCTACAGATAATGAAACAGTCAGAACAAAACTAAAACCAGGAGTCATGCAGTCATGCTGAAATCAACCATCTTTGTGGTATTTTCAGCTGAAAAACTGTAAGACGCTTTCATTGATTTTCTGAGAAAGAGCAAAATATGGAACTTGTCATACAATATGAAAAAGTCACCCCTGTACTGTTGTCATGAAAGGACTCATTTGCTATAGAGACCAAAAAGGGTTTTTACACCAGGCTGACAACATGTATTCTTCAGCTGTAAAGTTCCACCGTGGCAGTCTGTGGGGATCGGCTCGCTTTTGGATCCTCAAGTGGACGTCTCAGTAACTGCGGTTATTGGGTTTTAAATGATGGCTTTATCTTTCAGGCCAGCACGGAAAAACTTAAACTGGATGAACCTATTTTCATATATTTTTCAGGCAAAAATGCAAATACTCTCTCTGGCTTTGGTGTCACAAATACTTGCTGCTTTTCTTTGTATTGTATGATATAAAACTGAATATTTTGAATGTTTGGGCTTTTGAACAGCGTTTCTTTTAGTATTTGTGAAAAAATAGATATGGTCGTCCTCAAATGTATTCACACCCTCCAGTTAAAGGAAAAAAAAAAACAGCTGTCACTGAAATAAGCTGAACTTGCCAAAAGCAGTAATAAATAAAAATGTAATGAAAATCATGACATTGCTTTTGAATTGTGGTTCAACAGAAATATTTAAAAAACAAAACAAACAAGCATGATGGGACACGTAAACTTTTTTTTTTAAACGACCCTTTGATCCAATCACTGCAATCAAGTGTTTTCTGTAACTCTCAATCAGACTTCTGCACCTGTTGACAGGTTTTTTGATTTTGGCCCACTGCTCATCAGCAAAGTGCTCTAATTTGTCTGGAACTTTTGTTTTGTTTTTTAATTATTCTTTTCAAACACAATTCAATAGCAATGTCTTATTTCACTAAATGATAATTTAGCCTTTTTTTTTTTATTATTACTTTTTCAGTTTCTAGTTATTTGAGTGACTGTTGTGTATTTCATCTTTTCTTTAATGGAAGGGTATAAATACATTTGAGGATGACTGTATGCATAAAAAGCAGAATTAATGATTCCACAACAATCCACTGGAGAACTTGACCCGAATCTTTTCAAAATGAAGACACAAAGAAAGACAAGCGAGGAGCGAGTTGCTTGTTTTAGAACTTTTCATTTCTCTCCATAGTGTGGTGTACAATCACATCTTTACAGTACATTCTCATCTCTGCTCCTCATCCATCTCCCTCTCTCTCCCCTCAGTCTTCCCCTCCCTCCCTCCCTAAATAAATATTACACCTTTTCGATGTCCAGGCAGCCGTGCACAGCAGGCCGACAAGCTTCTGACGCCACTGTTTCCAGAGAGAGAGAGAGAGAACGAACGGCTTAATGCGAGGAGCAAAGACAGGAAGAGTGGGATCGAGTGATAGGAAGAAAAACAAAGCACAGATGGGTGTTTTCACATCATTCGAGGCCGGAGTTGAGTGGACGGAGAGGACAGGCTGGAAACAAATACGGACAACAAAATCATAGAAAATGAAAAAGCGACTGAATAAAAAGAGACAACGAGTGAGTCAGATTAATCTTACAAACACACAAAGAAAATGAAAAAACAAACAAAAAAACAAAACAAAACAATACTGCAAAACAGAGATTCCCTTTTTCTTAACCTGGGCCTACAAAGTCCACGTTGGTCCTTTTGTTTTGAAATGGCCGGCCCAGTTGGACGAAGAAGTAGCTGACATTTAGATCAATCTATGCTAAATCCTGAACTGCTAAAGAAGAGCGAGCAGCCAAAGAGAACTCTTCAAAAACTAATCTGAAAATGTAACAGCGACGACTCCTTGTGAACATCCAAAATGTTCCTTGCTTGTTTTTTTTCACTGCCTCTATACACATTCACACACGATTCATTATTATTAATTATTATTATTATCAATATTATTATTATTATATACTACTCTGTTTGAAACATTCAAAAGAATCACTATTGTAATTATTGCTGTGACCAGTAATCGTGGAGCTCCTGTTGGTCTGAACCGCAACAGCAAATCTGAAACCACACGACATCTCCAGAGCAGGACAGGTCTTCAGGTAATAATAAATACTGTAACGGTCCGAGAACGCACTGGTGTGGACAAAACATAAAACCCTGACAGGACTGGGAGAAGTTGGAGTGTGTTTAGGTCTCAGATGTATAATTTACATGTAAAAATAAGGGTGAAAACTAAAGTGTCTGTTGTCGAAATGCTCCACAACGAAGAACTAACTCCAGAGAGGCGTTCTGCCGCCTCCCTCTGGCATTTGTTCCTCACTGCAGCCGCCTTTTTCCTTCAGCAGGCGTTTACTATAGGCAAAGGTATCCAACTGTTCCCATGACCTTCCAGAATCACCTATGAAATGTTGCAGGCCAGAGGAGGAGATCTGTGATAGTCATGAAGTTGCTGAGGAGTGGATGGTCTGAGTCGGCCCACCAGTGACCTGTTTTCACGTTATATACACATGATTTGTGGGGTAAATTATTGCTGTGGTCCTGATAGCTTCCAGTCACTGACGTTGTTGAGGCTAAAGGCGAACATTTCAAGTCAGTCAGGCGAGGAGAAGTTGTGGGTAATGTAGTTCCCCTGCATGTCCCAGTCTACACTGGTTTTTGATTTGGACATAAAGGAGAGAGAACAGACAGCATCCCGATCCAAGTCGACCCCCCAGGTTCTACTCTGGTGGTCCAGCGGGGGGTGCTGGGAGGTGGGGGACAGTCGGAGATCAGGCCTCGGTCAGCGACTCTGTGAGTGTGTCTGCAGACGGATCCTGCTGCACCTCCGGGACCACGATGCCCCGGTGGAGTTTCTCTAAAGACTGCTTCATCTGGGAGATGGACCGGGGGGTGGGAGAGGGTCAGAGATACTGGATTACATAACACAGCGACGACCCAGCAAACTGTTTGTGGGATGCATGCATTTTGATGTCGCGTTCTGGCTGCAGATGAACACCTACCTGGTCGAGAAGTGTGACGGAGGACTGCAGGATCTGCTGCCACTTACTGAGCTGAGCCTGATGAAACTGACGTTGCAGCTGCAAGACCTGAGCCCACTCTCCTGCCGTCTGAGGCAAAGGACTGAAACACAGGAAGGAGGTCCTGAGTCAATACATGTCTGTAGCCATGAGTCAGTGATTCAGATCATCAACTGTTAAACCATTAACTCCCAATTTTAATTTAACCAAAAACAGGTAACAGGTCACACAGAGACACAAAATGACCACAAAGAGACTTAAAACAACCATAAAAAGACAAAAAATTACTACAAGAAGATGCAAAACGATCACGAAGAGACAAACAGATGCAAAATAACCGGAGACACAAAAACAAAGAGAATAAAAATGCACAAAATGAACACGCACTAAAAATGACCATGAAGACACACTAAATAACCAAAAAGAGACTAAAAACAAACCGAGATCCTGAAAAGACACAAAATACCACAAAGACATGCAAATCCGAAGAGAAAAAAAAAAAAAGAAGAAAAAAACAGACCAAAAAGAGGCATAAAATTATTACACTAAAAATTAACATGAAGACACGCTAAATGACTATAAAGAAATAAAAATAGACTCAAAGAGCTACTAAATAATCACAGAGATGCAAAATTACACAAGGGCAGTAAAAAAAAGACCATAAACGAACTAAAAATAACCACCATGACACACAAAATGACCACAAAGTCAAAACTGATGACAAAAAGAAAGCAAGAAAAGACCTGTTGCTATCCTGTAACTTGCAGCTCTGAGGGACATTACAGACTTGCCATCCCTCAAGACAAACTCAGAGCAAACACCAATTAGCGCCACGATTCCGCTTACCGAGAGGAAACGGAAACAAACAGCCTGTGTTGGTGTGGAAAACAGAGGAGAGTGTTTACCTGTCAGCGACAGAGTAGGAGTGCCACGTCTCCAGTGTATGAGCTGCTCTCTCCAGAGCATACAGCTTGTAGAACAGCAGCATGTTGAGCGCCACCAGCACGGCGAGACTGACGGGAACAGACGAGATGACAGCCGTCACATTCAGCGACTCGCAGGAAAACAGTGAAAATGCTTCAAAACATCACAGACAGCGAAACTCACAGAACAAAATGATAAATATTTCAGGGTTTGTTACAGGAAAAATCCACCGTCACATGGGTGTGAGTGTAGCACATATCCAGATTTATTTGCTTAAATAGTTTGGCTCCAGTTGTACAGCAGAATAAAGACTTTTTTTTTTCTTAATACATATTTCTGACACAAATACTCATTTATCCACTGGTGGAATCCTCAATAAACCAGACTGCAATGCAGCCGCATACAGGCAGTGTGCTGAGTGAAGAGAACAACTGTTTTTTATGACTGGAAAATGTCTTGCTAACAAAATGGTTGAAGTATTGTCTTCTGCATCCCACCTGAAATCTACATTTTTGGGCTCTACAAAAAGTAAAGAATATACTCAACAATATTGTACTCTCACCAGTCAAACACACTAATTTGCACTATATGAGAGGAAAATGGTTGATCAATGAAAGCTGTTCTGTAATTTGCTAAAAATGCAAGTAAGAATGAGTAAATGATTTAAATAATGTATTGTAAGTAATAATAATGTAATGTAAGTTAGTTTGGTTCAACAGAAAAAAAAAAAACCTACTAATATTTAATCTCTAAATGTTCTTTTAAATTCAATTATTTTATCTGTGTTCCTTAACTTTTAATTTTCTTTACGTGTAAAAAGAGAGAAACTTCTATACATTTTTGATAATAAAAGATTTATTAATAAATGAACAGTGTTGAGGTGCTTTCAGACTAAAGGCAAAGCAGACCTCAAATCAGAATGAATGCACAGGTCTCTCACACACACAGCTTTGGAAATAATGTTTACACCACCTGCTGCTATTTTTATAAAGTTGACACAACAGGCTGTTGATTTCTATTTTTTTTTTTTAATTTTGTTAGAATTTTAACATAGTTAAAGCGCCCTTTAAAAGACATGAAAAGGCTTTATAAGAATTCCATTCATGCAACTAATTATGTCAAAATTCCCCCTAGATGGCCAAAAACATTTTTTAGTTGCTGTTATTTTTGTGTGTAATTTGTATATGTAAATAATCAGATAATGCAAACTAAACTCACTCTACAAAACCTGAAAGACCAGAATTATAGCAGGACAAGAAAAACAACTGTTTTCTTAACCAGCTTGGAATCAGTAAAACGACATCTATTACAATCTAAAGAAGAAAATGCAGAATGTCTTCAACAGGAACAAATAGCAGCCACAGTGGTCTAGTCATTATTTTCAAAGCTGTCCACTAAAAGAGTTGATGTGTGATGTTAGGAAACCACAGCAAATGTCTGCATGTTTGTGCCAAACAAACAGGAAATAAACTTGTAATGAATTAGGTCTTTGCCTTTAATCTCAAAGCACTTTAAGAAAGGTGAACGGTGGATTTTTTCTGTGAGAATATCATCATTCTCATATTCGCAGCCGGTGGTGTGAAATCAAAGGCTCTCATACGAACCTGATACAGATCCTATGTTCAAGAAGAATTGCAGAGAAGAGGGGGAAAAGAGAAATAGCAAGAAAAGGCATTGAGAGGCTGTTAGTAAGCAGAAGATCGATATCCAGAGAGTCTGAATGAGGGCACATTCAGAAGTGGATAGAACGGAGACAGCAGAAAGCTAATGTTATCAGAAATATACAATCAAACCAGGGATTTGATCAGGATACAAGGCAGTAGGTACTGTATGACTATGGAAGAGGGTTAAAAGCAAGGACACATGCTCTTATGGGTGGATGAGTGCTGCACGATGAAAGATATCGTGACTGTACTTTTTAATAATATAACGGAAGCCATATTTCCCTGTGTGCAGCTTCGCTCTCTGCAGGTACCAACAGCTTCTTTTTTTTTTTTTTTCCTCATAAGCTGACTGTCCATGAATTGTCTACAAAGCAGATGCAAAAATAAAATATGGCGTTACTTAAAGTTTTGGTTGTTCTGTGTGTTAAGAGCAGTTGTGTCTCTTTGTGGTAATATTTTGTCTCATTTCTTGTTGTTTTCTGTCTCATTCGTATTGTTTTGTGTCTCTTTGGGACAGTTTTGTCTCATGTCTGTCATTTTTTTGTCTCCCTTCTCGCATTTTGTGTGTCATTTTTGTAGGTTCGTACTAACTTTTGGTAATTTTGTGTCTTGTTCTGGTCATCTTATTTGGTTTTGGGAGTTAAGCATTTTATAAGCAGCAGTGAGACGTGATGATGGACAGACATGTAAAGAACTGATCGTAAGAGTTCTGATTAGATACTGAAATGGACAAACACATTATAGATGTTTTATGGCTTTTTTACACTGCTTTGTATTAAAACTGTCTAAATATCCTTGTTTTTGAATGAGTGAATGAGTGAATGAATGAATGAATGAATAAATAAACACATACATACATACACTGTAAGTTCCATGTTCTCTCATCTATGTTATCTATACATTATCACTTTTCCTGTTGTTTTAGGTTTTTGTTGTAGTATTGTATCGTCATGATTCTGATAACACCAGAGGCCCAGTGCAGAAAATGTAGGAAAAGATCTCTATTTAGAAAATCTCATCTCCTGTCTCAGTAACTCATTCATACAAATAGTAGGAAGAAAAACATAAAACGCGCTGCAAAGACAGCCTGAAGAGAGGCTCAGAGGGAAAGTCGGCAGTTTTTAACAGACAAACACACTTGAGCTTACATGAAGCTGACGATGAGCAGGATGGTGGAGATACTGTTGTGTCCTCCGCTACGTGAGCGCTCTCCCAGCTTCATATACTGAGCACCTGAAAAAGCAACAAAACAAGACACATATGGTTCATGATGTTTCCAAATTGTAAAAACACAACCTCAGTGAGTTTCCCTGTCCTTCTGTGTCTTTAATTTTGTGTGGAAGTTGCTCTCAGAATCTTTTGTCATGCCTTTAAAGGTTCTATGTGGAGTTTCTGACCTCATCTATGAAACATTGCTGTTTTTCCACAGTCCTATTAAACTATTCCACTGATCTGTAATGTGCAAAGAAATTCAGTAATTCTCCAGCAAAAGCAGGTAAACAGACGACTACCAGTCATGGATGTAAAAAATGGATGTTACTTTTACAAGACTAAATGCTGTAACTAATCACAGAGCCACTAGAGGGCAGCGCTGCACAGAGGAAGGATTCAGGCTTGTTGATGAAAATCCCAACAATTTACCAGTTTCTCTTCGGTCTCGGTCCTCTCCGACTCCTCTGTCGCCTCGGTCTCCGGTGCCGATACCTCCTCCCTCCCTCTCCCTCTCCCTCTCGCCCTGCCGCCGTGAGCAGGTTCGTTTTCTGCGACGCAAAGCCGGCGGCGTCTTGGCGGCATCGGCGCCCACCGCTTCACCTGTGGTCACCACTGTAACCTCCGACTGCAGCAGTGTCTCCAGCTTGCACACCTCGCTCTCTGCATGTTAACAGATAGAGGAAGTTAAAAACACAAAACAGAGGAAGGGAAATACTGCTCTTACTAAATGGTAACCACATTTTCACCAGCCAATCAGAAAACAGATTGTATAATTAGCACTTCAGTAAAAAACATATTTACTAACCTCTGAACCCCAAAACCTACCAGCAGGTTCCATATATTCACCAAAAATAACCAATTTGCAACAGATTCTAAACATGAAAACAAAAAATATTCACTCTTCTGTGCAACTGATTTTTTTTCGTGACTTAGCTGTGAACAACTGTGAAAAGTCAGAGTTTTCAGGTGAACTGTAGGCAGTGTTTCCACAGAGCAGAGAGGAGACGACAAGAGAGATAGAGAGGAAATTAAAACATACTGGATCAATTAAAAAACAAATACAGCATGACTCAAAAATGGAATACAGAGGAGCAAGTAGTTGGAAGAGTTGGTAAAGAAAAAAACTGAAAAAACCTGGAACCAACATGTCTAACATTTTATCAGGTGCCTACAGGTGTGACCTGTCCAGGGTGTGCCCTGCCTTCGCATGAAGTCGGCTGGGATAGACTCCAGCCCCCCTGCGACCCCAGTGAGGATTAAGCGAGGATAAATAATGGATGGATGGATGGATGGATGGATGGATGGATGGATGGATGGATGGCCTACAGGTGTTACCAATACTGGAACAATACAGTATGGGTACTACTCATGTTTTTAATTTGTACTTGGACACAGCCTGCAGTTCAGTTGAAAACTCGTAATTGTTGGTCGCAGCTAAATCAGTTGCAGCGTTTTGATTGTACAGCAGAGCACAGAATTGTTTATGAAAATCTGGTTAAATCTGCAAATGGCTCATTTTTGGCAGTCTTTTAACTGAGTTATGTAGAATAAAGTGTCTTCGATGAAATACGATTTAAAGGTCATGTTTTTCAACAGAACAGAATGTCACAGAAGAGTGGCTGAAAAGCTGAAAATCCTTTCTTTTCTTTACAGTTCCTGGTGTCATTTTGGCAATTAAAAAAAAAACAAAAAAAAAACCCTTCAAACCCATCAGCACAGTTGAGTGTCCAAAGGGTTAATGTGTCAAGAAACCACATGAACTGTTTCTCATGTTCTGCTTATGTCGAAAACAGAAGGTAAAAGTGTCTCACGCAAACACAGTTAACACAAATATGTGATGACTATAACCATATTAAAGTTACAAGACACAAATGCTCAATGTTCTGTAATGTGCAACATGAAACTGTATATTTGGTTTTCATAACGAGTGTGTCTTATTTACAGATCAGCCTAACTGGATTGGTTCAGTTTCTGTGCAGAGGTACCCTGGAGGTGGCCGACCATGTGACTCACCCATGTGCCTGTAGTACTCCTCAATTCCGCTCCAGGTGTTCTTTTCAATCAGTGCTTTCACCAGACTCCACGGCTGCTTCCGGTAGCAGATGTCTGAGGAAACTCTGAGCAGACAAAGGGCAAACACGCACTGTTCAGAACGTGCAGACATTTAGACTTCTTTTTTTTTTCCAGTTTTTAATCATGAAAAACATGCCTCCATTTTTATTTTTTAACAAGTTGCAGATACACCACATTACATGCATAGATTTCCCTCCACTTCAAGGAGTGTTTCTTCGACCTACAACAAAATTAAACTTGCTCCATTTACTTATTGATTTACTTTTTTGATTCAGAAAGGCTCCAAAAAAAGACAAGTAGTGGCAGAGACAGTGAGACAATCACAGCCCTTACTTTAAAGAAACATGTCCTGTGGCCACATTGCATAATAGTCAATTGAGACTACAGTCAGAGCAGAAACTTGTGAGTGGTTGCCTCTTTTTTCTTTTTTCCTCTGACTGTTGAACTTTGCCGCAAAATGCTAAGAGAAGCTCTTTCATCCGGAGATGCTGACGTCAAGACTCAGCAAGGATATTTCAACCCCATTGTGCTGCTACGCTATGAAGTGTCATCAAGTCAATACATTACGTTTGACCTTTAATATTGGCAAAGGTGAGGGAAAAATACAAGCATTAAAAGGGAGTGGAAGTGAAAGAGGGAGTAGCTCTGTACTGTTTATGTACATGTATAAAATATGAGTAGATCATTTCATGCTCCCCTGGTGTTACTGGTTTTGTGTAACTTAGGCTGCAGCAGTTTATCCTGTCTGTGTTTAGTATAAATCACTAGTTGGACTTTGACTGTGTTGTCTTCTTGGCCATTAATGTTGTCATGGATTTATTATAAAAAGATTAACTCTTACTGCAACAAGAATTTTCATCAAGGAACCGACTTGAAACAGCACCTACGGTTGTTTTATGTGGTACAATCCAAATGTTCAGGTGATTTACATGATTACATACAAGGACTTTCAGAAAGTGTTAAAAGTGTGGCAGGAACACTAGGAGCAGAGCATCACTGCACAAGGACTTTGATGGCAGCAAAATTGGAATCAGATACATTTTTTGATCTGGATTTTTAGGGACGATTTCTGATCACTGCTTATAGTCGAGCATACATAATACGTGCTTTAATCCTATGAACCCTCAGTGACAGTGATGATTAAAAAAAAGGAAAAGGTTTAAATTTCATTGAATATTTATTTTACAAAGATGAAAAAAATAAATAAAAAAGAATCACTATGTATATTTTGAAAGTGTACATATTTGTTACCAGAGCAGTAAAGAAAGGGTGGCTCCACATATTATAAACAGTTCACTATTAACAATATTTTCACTCTACTCTGTACTACAGAAAGATGTTTCATCATACTGAATGTATCTTCCAACTTAAAACTTGCTCCTCTGTGTACCGTTTTTTTGCCACGCTGCATTTATTCTATGGATCCAGTATGTTTTATTTTCCTCTCAGTCACTCTTGTCCATCTGCTCTCTTTTCTGTGAAAACACCGGCTGATTGATGGTGTCATTTTTGGTGATTTTTAAAAAAGAAAATGTGCCTTTCAGACCCGCCTGCAGGTCTTGGGGTTCTTAGAGTTTATATCTATTATTATATTAATCAGGTAAATTTGTATAATAATTACCATTGAAGGGTCTTAACCTCAACATTTAAATCTGTTAAGGTGTATTTGTAATATTATTTTTCTTTCTTCTTTAAAGAAACAATTTCAGTCACAATTTGATTTCAACACAAAGGGAGAAGATCTATTAAATTGCTGTGGTCTGGTACCTACAGATTCTGGCATGAGTGTAATCTTGAGTGTGATGCTTTTGTTTTCCATTCATGGCTCCTTTGTTTTGACTGTTTTTACTGTCTGAAGTCAAGAGAATCCCTCTGTGAGGTAGCAAACCTACCTGAGTCGGCTCTTGTGTTTGTTGATGGAGGTGAGGCAGTATCTGTGGACAGTGTAGAAGTAGTCCTGGTAGGGGATGCCTGAGGTGATGACCTCCGAGTCCACTACGTAGCACTCGCCCCGGGCGCTGCTTTTATGCAATGTCTTCAAATAGAAAGAAAAGTGGTTAATGAATGATATGCAAACTCACCGCTTTATCCAGACCCAACAACAAAACCTTCAACTGACCTGTCGGCTAGTTATGACTTCTTTGGCTGATAATTAACTGTTTCTTGTGTTTTGTGTGAATAATCTTGATCATCCAGCAGTGGTGAGCTGCTCTGCTGCATCTGTATAAACTACATTAAATCACTCTGTCACAGGTCAGTAGTCTGACCCATCAGATGAAGATGTTGGGTATAAACCTGCCATTTTCTGTATATTTCATGCTGTATTTTGACAACAAAAACGTTGAATTAATGGGGGGTTTTAATCAGCATTTAATAACTATAAGCTTTGTTAATTCATCGAAATACAGTTTTTATCATTATATTCAAGTACATCTATCATTATATGTGTCATTTTTAAATATTCTAGGTAATTTCATTGTGTTTACACATGTAAATATCTTTTCTAAAAAAGAACAATATATTTGCATAATGTTATCTAAAATTACGGAAAGAAAATTTAATAACTGAAAACTAATGTTTTGTTTTTGTTTTGTTTTTTTAAAGTTGGACACTGCGGTATTTTTGGCACCCCGGCTGTTGAAAGATTACAGTAAATGCACTTGTTTTTTGTATCTTGTAAAAACAGCAGCTTACTTGTCATCTTCCTCAATAGTTCTTGCGCTGGATTACTAGTTGATAATAGTTTTATTTTTAGAAATCATTTGAATATGTGCAGTTGGTCTGCTCTCAGTCTGTTCTTATCATTTCAGTAGAAAATAACCAGGTTCAAGTAATGGTGTCAACACTAGCTTTTTCATGTTGATCGAGACTTTTGGTCTAATAAGTCTGCAAGTAGAGTGCACTGTGGAAAGTTTAGTTCATCTACAGATAAGCTTCTGATTTTTTTCCCCTACGACTAAACGAATAACTGAGAAGTCAATACAATTTCTGTCCAAGATTTTCTTTGGTTGACTGAATTGCATAAACAGTAACGTCTATATGGTAAAGGTAAGTTTCAGTCTCCAGTTTAGAGCTGAAATCACTTTAAGGCACTCAAAAATCCACCTGAATCTTCACCAGGATTAAAACTGAAACCAATACTAAGCAAAACAACCAAAAACTCCTCCACATGCTACTGCAGAGTAAAACTTCCACTCTAGTTCATTTTAAATCAGCACAGAGTTCATGTGGGAGACAGTGTGCCAAAGGGCCAAACAATGGAAGTATAAAAGGCCAGTGTTAGGTCCAGGACTGACCTGCGTCTCCACCACGGGGGCGGTCTTGGGGCCGAGGGGGTTGTTGAGGGCGATGGTATAGCTGAGCACACGGCTGGTGTTCCCACTGCTGCTGTCTGGCTGCCATTCGCCCACCGACAGGTCTGAGAAAAGAGACGAGGACGAGGAGAACACAAGGTCCCGAGAGATTTGGTGAAAACAAGAGAGTGAGAAGGGACACGAGAGGTTGAGAATTTATGAATGAAGAAAGAGAGAGATTCAGAAAGAGTGAGAGAGAGGGAGGAAGAGAGAGAGAGAGAAAAAAAAGAGAGTCAATGCTCACTGCTTCATCAAAAGAAGAAAGAAATGCCCCAATTAGAGCTACACAATGTTCCCGAGCAGGCCGGCAGCCAAACCTCACTGCTTCAACTTCTGGTGTAAACTACAGTCCAAAATACACACTGCAGTCTGTCACAATAAAAACTGTTGTAAAGTGGGAAAAAGAACAGCTCACTGTAAACAAGTAGCATAGCGCCGTCATTAGTGGCACATCACAGTGAGCTGCAGTAAGTTTCTGAGAGATGTTTGGATTTATCAGCTGGACCCAGAGACACAGCAGTTTACAAATGATCCAAAAATGCATTCCCACACTGTTGCTGCTAGTGTGTTTTTGCTTCCTGCATCTTTGTTAAGTCTAAATTGTTTACTGAATAAATTATATGGACATTTATACGGATACCAGTGAAATTTTAGGACAATATATCTAAAACTTTCCAAAATGACATTTTTACAAAAACATTGCCACTTTCAGTTTTTGTGGCACTTTGAAATTTGAGGCTTTTTTTGAACACCAATATTTCAGGAAATATTAAGGATTAAAGCCTGTCTCTTTTTTTCTTATTGTGACATTAATTCAGAGTCTCTAATATTGTACAAGTAGACCAAATTATGGGTGACTTGAAATATTGAAGAAAAAAAAAAAATCAAAATTGTCATGGACAGCCCCATCATTGACCACATAAAAAAATGATAATGCAGAAGTCAGCTAGGGACAAAATATGAAATACTTCGTCATAAATAACTTTCTGATTGATGATTAATGGAGCAGGTATGACAAGGTGTACCACAAAAACTACAATACTGGTTGATAGTCTAATCCAAGTAGAATAAAGTTCTGGACTTGCAGAATGGTTCTCAAAATACTTAATTTTGAAAATGTGTTTTTAATATGGACATATTTTTTTTGGTTTGTTTTAGGACCTTTGAGCATATTTTATCTCCCCCATAATCAGAGACTATTTGATTTACATGTCCAATATTGCAGATTTGGAATCAATGACACAAAATGAAAAAAAAAGTAAATATTTCAGGCTTTTAATTTTAATAGTTTCTTGTTTTTTCTCTCCTTGTTTTTATATATGTTTATGTCCAGTCTGCTATTTGGATACAAGGAGACAAGTCAGGTGCAATTTCATTACACATTGTATAATGACAAAAAAACAGATTCTGATTCTGAATTTTTTGTTCAAACAGCCTCAAAATTCAACTTGTGAAAAAGCCTGCTAAAAGCTAAAATTTCACAGATACAATTTTAAATATCCATAATTTGTGCTATAAAAAGTTTAGGCAAATTAGACACAGTTGGGAAGAAACTGCTTTTTTTTTTTTTAAAAAAAAGGTGATTTGAGATGGAATGACCCAACACAAAAAAATACCCCAGCAAACATAAGGTCACACTGACAACAAAAAAAGAGTGATTTTGTCTGGCCACAGCAGCCTTAACAGTCCAGTAAGACCAACAACAAACTGAGCAACAACTGTCAACATCCCAACAGGAAAAACTTGCTCTCTGGCGCTGAGGGTTTATGCAACAAGTTGCATGCAAGCTCTATGGTGGCTGTTGAAATGAACTGTGGGCGATGTGGGGACGCTACATCACCAAAGTGAAGCAAGGCTGGTCATGACTGTCCTCCAGGTGTGTTTCACCTACCTGTGAAGTGTCGCTGGGAGAAAAGGTGCTGGATGAAGTGTGTGTCGGCAGAAAAGAGCAGGTCATGCAGCTTGTCGACACTCATTCGGACAGCAGTGTTGATGTGAAGCCGCCCGCTAAGGTTGGCGCAGAAAGACTCCACCTCACCTGCAGACCAAAAGAAAACAGACAAGACTTACTCTCATTGTACTTTTATCCTAGCTTCTTTTTCTTACTATGTTCTCTGTATTTGGCAGTTGATTATCGCAGTTTCTTGCCGAGGTGTAAAATTCAAATGTAATCTTAAACATTAACATCTGACAAACAAAACCCAGCAGAGAGTTTGAAAGTTACGCTTTCTTTAAATATTAACCTAAATTCCATCATTTATCAGCCTGAAAATGAAATCTAAGTTTGAAATAAATCCGTTCTATTATTCTACACTGTCTCGTAAAAAGTTCACAGTTTGCACCAGATCTTGTAAAAAAAAACTAAAACTTTTGTGCTTCTTGGTGCAACATTGAAGCCATGAATGAAGCTGTTGTTGAGCTAGTTTTCAGAGCTTTTTCAGGTGAACTGCAGGAAGTGTTTCTAAAGAGCAAAAAAGAGGCGGCAAGGAAGACAGAAAGGAAAACAAATAAATGAAAACTAACTGGATCAATACAGTAAATGCAGCACGGCTCAAAGAAGACAAATTCAGCATGATAAAACTTCTTTCTACAATTGATATGCAGAGTAGAGTGAAAAAGTTCATAGAGGCTGTAAAATTGAAAATATTCATATTCAACATCTATAAAAGAAAGAAACAAAACAAAAAAAAACAAAACAAGACAAAGAGTGATAAAGATGGGACAAAATGACCACAAACAGGCAAAACTCTCCTACTGAAACATAAAATGTCCAAAGCAAGACACAAGATGACCAAAACGAGGTTAAAAACTACCAAGATGAGACACAAAGTGACAACAAACAACAACAAAAAGACACAAAATGGCAATAATAAGACAAAAGTGTTGCAAAGAGACACCGACAACATAGACAACACATAAAATAACAAAAACAAAGACGACAGAAAAGGTACAAAACTGTCCCAAAGAGACGGATTTCTGTCATTCTAACTGTGTCATACAGCACAGAAGACATTTCTGAGTTCTATGTTCTTCTAGTAATGATTGTGTTGTTTCCATAGAAGTGCAGAACTTTATACTGCAGTGAAAAATGAGCCCACAGTGAAGAAAAATGTGACAGGAGCAAATAAACACTCAGAGGATTAACAACCCTGAATGAGCTAAAAATAGTATAATTCATGAAAGTTTATCAAAACAGACAACTGACTGTTGTGCTTCCATAAGTTTGTACAGCAAATTACGAAGAACACGATTAAAATTGTAGAAAAAGTGTATTCCGACCTAATATTTATATAATTTACACTTGGGGGTTTAGCCGGACAACACTCACTCTCTTCTTGCGTGTCAGAGGAGTTGCTGGGGTCAGTGGGCAGGTCCTCGTCGTTGGTGATGTCCAGAGACGACAGATTTCCCAGACTGGCGCTCGGAGGCGGCAGCATGTGATTGGCCGACTCGGACAAACTGTCCCCACCCTCCTCCAGATTCTGGTGCACGGGGGGCAGAAAAGGACAGTAAGCAGGAGGTATGCAGGGAGATCAGCCCACTGTCATATGACTGGAGAGTGAAGAGGCCTCGGCTCGGCCTGAGCAGACACGCTGTAGCCGAGCAATTAATGTGAAACCGGTACACAGTCGACACAACTCTGCATTCATTCACTGTAGCTCGGACTGTCTGAGGATAAATCAAGGCTACAGCTGAAACCACCACCGCAGCCGTTTTTGAGCAGAACTAATCGGACTGAGTGCCAACCAGAACAAACAGACAGCAGGATATCCTGCTGCATATCTCATCAATTATTTCTTAGACATTTTTTTAAACCCTTTAACCAACCCTCCAAAAAATCCCTAAAACTACATTATTCATCAACCAGAAAGTGTAAAACAGAAAGAATGGTCAGATTTTCAAAGTTCTAGAAGTTCTTGAACTAAGACTCGAGGTGTAAAATCGTGATATTACAGTAAAATTGCTTTTTTTCCCCTCGACATTAAAAAAATAAATCACTTGCACTGACTAGATTCTGTAAGAAGTTTAAAGTCTGTGCTCCTCAGCACAACTTAAAAGCCATCACTGACTCAGATGTGGCCAACAGTCATATGACCAGAATTCAGAGACTTTTCAGTTGAACTGCAGGTTTTTCCTTTTTATGATTTCGTCATTCTAACTGCGTCATACTGCAAAGAAGACATTTGTCAGTTCTCGCCTTCAAGTCATGATTGTGTTGTTTCCATAGAGGTGCAAAACTTTATACTGCAGTGAAAATGAGCCCACAGTGAAGAAAAATGTTACAGGAGCAAACAAACCATCCAGAAACTGCTTAGAATTCAGAGGGCTGACTTTAAGGACTTGTTTCCTCTTCATTGTGTTTTGAAAGGCTGATGCAACGTATTTCTTCATTCTCTGTTTGACAGAGGCTTTAAAAATTACAAATTATTTGCCTTTCATTATTTACTTTTTGAATGCATGATTATGGCACAAATTGTGAGTTTTCATGAAAGTCAGACATGTTTCCTAAAGTTCATATTGTTACAGCTGCTTCTTCTTATCCGGAGACGCTGATGTGATAAACAAGAATCAATGCTAACAGACCCCGACCATGCTCTTGCTCTCGAATGTCAATTTGGGAAACTTGTAGGAATTAGTATTTGCAGGAATGCTTGTCTCTCAGTCTATCTGGAAGGTAGGTTTAGCTTTGTATTAATAAGTAAAACAGGCCTGGATAGATTATTAAACGAACACAGATCCACCAGGTCCAGGGGAACAATGATAACAGTGCACAAAGGCACTTTTACAAATTTCTTCTTTAAATGTATTTTGGACATGATTTTCAAGAAAGGATATGTCTAATTTTTTTTTAAGTTAATATTTTTTTTTTTGAAATGTCAAATTAACAAAAAAAACATTAACATTGTTTTGTTTTTTTTTAAATGAAATTACTCAAATGAAAATGAAAATATATATATATATGTCAAAGGTAATTTTTAAATCCTGTGTTTCAAAAAATATATATTGCATTTTTTGTAATGCTTGAAAATTTGAAAAACTTTTTTGCATTCACAAAATGTTTCAAAATTCTTAGATGTTTGTTTTTTTAATATCCAGTTTTGTTTTGTTTTGTTTTTTTTTTATGAGAAGTCATATGTGGCACACGTGGTGAATTCTCTGATTCAACTCTGTGTGGTTACTTGAGGTGAACTTATAAAGGTCAATGGATCAGTGTATGGATCCCACTTCATTCACTTTATCCCTGCCGTCAACTTACACCAACACTGAACTGTCTGCAAACATCAGGTGATGTGTTGAAACAAACAGCAGCTGTAGATGAATTACTGAGCAATTTCTTCTGCTCCATTTGTGCTGAAAGTGTTTAATAAAGTGGAAGCATCTGCTCAGTTCCTGACAGTCCACTGGTTCATATCAAGCACGGAGGTATTGTAAGTACACATGGATGTGAAGCAGACCACTCACAAAGGAGGCAGCAGCAGAAGTCGGGGCTGAGGCGGTGGGCGTGGTGGACGGCAGTGAGCCGTGTGAGCCGGCGGGGCTCGGTTCCAAGGGGTCCGAACTGAGTCTGCGCCCCGATGACGAAGACTCCTCTGCAGGCAGACAGGAGGCAGAGGCAGGCGGAGAGGATCCACTGAGGCTGGAGGCTGAGGGAGGACTGGCCAGGCCGCAGGGCACCAGGGGAGGGGGAGAGCTGCCGGTGGACGGGACCGACACCGAGCTCAGGTCCAGTAGGTCTGTGACCGACACCGACTCATCTCCTGGCCTGGAAACAAGGAACAAAAATGCAAGAAAGTCGCAGTGTGAGAAAAAGAGCTGAGACCGGGAGTTTGACCCAGTTATTCTATCTACAATCATCAGCAGCCTTCTGCTCAACCATCCCAGACATGCTTTAAACTTTTCTCTCATAATCTATAAATATTTAAAATGATACATGTGACATTGTAGAGTGATATATCAAACACTTTCAGAGATATTTCTTTTAAAAATTGCCCATCGACCCACTTTCAGCAGGTTGTTTTGCACGTTAAAATTTGAGGCTGTTTGAGCAACAATATCTCAGGAACTATTAAAGATAAAAACCTAAAATTTTCATTATTTCTCATTAGAATCTGCAATACTGGACAAGTAGCTCAAATAATATCTGATGCTAATGCAGAAGTCAAGTAGTGATACTTACCAAACCATATGAAGCTGCATGTCACAATAATGCAAAACTACATACAGAATACTTGTTCACATAAACTACTTAGTTATAAATTTTAATTTGTTGTTGAACTGTCATAACTGATTGAGCAGGTGTGACAAGTTGAACTACAAAAACAAAGATGTTGCTTGACAGACTGATATGGGCATATTTTTTTTATTTTCGGACCTCGGACCATATTTCAACTCACCCATACTCACAGAGTATTTGATCTACTTTGTCCACTGCTGCAGATTCTGAATCGATGACATGGTGAGAAATACCAGTAAACATTTCAGGCTTTTATCTTTCATATATTGTCGTTAAAACAGACCAAAAAAAAAGACAGGAAAAAACCTATTAAAAGTGCAATTTAAAAAAAATCATCACAAAAACTATTTGATATATGAAGCTAAAATTTTACAGATATCTGTATACATATTCAGATTTTTCAGCAATAGAAATTGCAGGAAAATCTGAGATGGCCGAGCAGAAATTTGTTCTAAAAACTGACCCATTAACTGTTATAGCAACTACCAATAAAAACACAAATTTATAAAAGCAAACTAACACCTTGGACAGATTCAGACACACTAAAAACCCTGTCGACTAAACTAGAGTTTACTTGTTTTGATAAAAAAAGAGACCAATGGGACCCTGAAAGCTTTTTGTTAATATGGTGCACTCACAGTAGGCCGTTCATGTGTTCGGCGGTGGGGGAGACGTAGTCGTCGTCTTCACTCGTGAGGCCTAATTCGGTGCCGTAACACTGGTGGACAATGTGCCACAGCTCTTTGGGGGACAGAGACTGAACACAAACAACACCATCCATCAGCACTTTGTCATCATCTAATTTTTATATTATATTGTACGTCTTACACAGCAGTGCTTCATAGATGTACACACAGTTGCTACTACTTGTGTGACAACCAGAATACACTGAGGTGTGTTCACTGCTGTCCTTTGTGTGCTATATTGTGACGTTTTATTGATCCTCAATGCTTCTAGAGTGGATGTCAATAATGTAAACAGTGAAGGAGGCAGCGTTTAACTCATCAATATGACATGACAGAGCGATCACAGGGATTTCTAACCAGTTAGGGCTCAGTTGCTTTATCATCTGCAGAACGCCACAGAGTTTACATCATTAACGGTTACTGAATGAACCAACGACAAATAAATTAACACGCAATATATCAGTAATTAGCTGAGTTAAAGAATCGGTAATCAGATTTTTTAGTTCCTTCTGTCCTTCTGTTTTTTTTTTTAGAAAAGCTTTTTTTACTTCTTTTGACCACTTTGTAGAAATTTCAAGTCATTTTAGACCAATGTAAAGTTTCGCGCTTTTTTCTCATTTAGTTTAGTTAATTTAGCAAGTTTAGATTTTTATTTAATTTCAAGTCATTTTCGGTTGTTTTTTTTGACATCATGTTTCAATTTCAGAGTCATATCGGACCTTTTTTTAATTATTTTGCACAATTTCCAAACCATTCTGCACAAGTTTGGAAAAACACAAGTAATCTGGGATATTTTGTTGTCATTATGGTTAAATTTCAATTCACTGTGGACATTTTTTTGTCATTTAGGAGATATTTTAAATAATTTTGGATTTGCTTTTTGTAATTGTGGTTGTCCAAAGAGTGCATATTCTTCATTTTGGCTCCTGCTGCTTACCTTTACTGCATCAGAGAGACAATTTTTCTGAATCTTAACCATCTGCAATCTTCAATTACAGTCAATTTTGACAAATGTATTTTGGACACATTTCAAGGTATTTTGCACATTTTTTAATCATTGTGGGCAAGTTTCAAATCATTCTTAGCATTTTTCTTTCATTGAGAACACAACTGAAGTAATTTCAGGAAAGTTATTTTGGTTAAATTTAAAGTAATTTTGGACATTTGTCATTCTGAACAAGTTTCAAATCATTTGGGGAAATTTAAGTTATCTTGGATATGCGTTTATCATTTAGGACACATTTTAAGTAGTTTTGGACAGATTTTTTAGGGAGGTGCAGAGTGCAAAGTTAGCGTGACACTCAGAGACACAATAAACACATTAATAATGAATTTTTCAGTAACTTTGGAGAAATTTCTGTTAGGTGTGTAGAGGCCAAAGTCAATGTGACCCACAGAGACACATATACACAACTTACACATTAATTAATGCATATTCTTCCCTTTAGTTCCCTCTTAGCTTCAGGGTCATATAGCTGCATTTTAGCTCCTCCTTTACTTCAGTGTGTTATACAGCTGCTTTTAAGTGCACAAAAATGGTCTGCAAACTTGAATTTGAGTCACTTTGGACAAATTTTAAGTCATTTTGGATACTTTTTTTGTCATTTAGAACATCTTAAGTCATTCTGGAGAAATCTGAGCTACTCTGGACAACACTTCTGATTCTACCCAGAGCACAGCATTTGATGATTGTATTACTTTTTGGTTTGAAACAGTGAGTCAACATCTGCTGTTTACATGTGATTTAATACCAAGCTGTGTTTCTGCACTGACGCTGACCAAACAAATGTGTATGTTTGTCCTCAGCAGATAACAGTAATTTACCCTGTTCTCTCAGCCTGCGTCTTGACACTGTTCTATTCTGAGCTGTTAACTGCCGGCCATGTCACACCAGACAGCAGCATGAACAAACCAGGAGGCTGGAAGAGGAGGCTTTACCTTGTCCAGCAGTGCGTTCTGCCACAAACGGAAAATCATCATGAAGCTGCGATCCCTCGCTCCGAAAGACGTGAAGAAATGCTGAGAGAGTGAATATGAATGAAACAGGAAGGAGGGAGGAAAAAGAAGGATAATGTGACTGTGCATTTGACGGATGGTTTCCCTCTGTGCAATGTTTGCTTTGTCACGGTCAGCGGACATAAAAGTCGAGTCAGCTTGGTTCACAATAACACCCTCCGGTGATTGTATAACAGCAGTTAAGTTAAACTGTAAACCATACAGAATGCATTCACGCATAACAAACTAAAATTAGGCTCAGATATTGTTTGTCATTGAGTCTGACCTTCTCATTGTCAGTGCTGATCTGGATGGCATTCGGGATGAGCTTGGCAGTCTTCTCCTTGGTCATCGAGGTCACGTCTTTTAGTAGGATAGTGATCTGAATATAGAAGGAGAGATTTACAGCGTCTCTGTGCATTGCTCTTATTGATATCGCTCTGGAAACAAATTCATTAAAAGGACTTCTTATCTGACCGCAGGTGTGACATTAAACAGGTGACAGGAGGTGTGTGGTTGGCTGTGAGTGCGTCGATGTGTGCACAGTGTGTGTGTAACTTACAGTGGTTTCCCAGCGGAAGATGTTACTGTAGAAACAGAGCCAGTTCTCCGACAGATAGAGGCGCCCCTGAAGAAGTATGTCTTTCTGCAGAGCACAGGAGTAATCTGGGTACAGAAAGAAGAAAAGAAACCAGGTCAGGAGACAGACAGACAGACAGACAGATGTCTTCTGTAATTTTGAACAAATTTCAAGTCACTATGGATGCATTTGAAGTGATTTGGACTATTTTTTCTGGATATTTTGAAAAAGAATTAGGTCATTTTGGACAAGTTTTGTCATTTTGGAATTTTTTTTGTAATTCATGAAACATTTTAGGGATTTATTTTGTCTTTTTAGTCAAATTGAACACTGCTTTTTAAAAGTTGGGTGTCAACAAGGGCAGCATAAAAAGATGCGTTTTAATTTCAATTGTGTGGAAACAGAGACGATTTGAGGCACTTTTTTCCATCTCACTTTTCATGCACTGATCTTAAACCTGAAGTTACACCAAATCCTGCTTCATATTACGGTTCTCTGCTTGTATCGGGGATCATTTCAACGATCCAAGAAGCTGAATTTATGCGTGGTGATGCAGGTGCACCTCTCCACATGAGTTTGTCACGCGGCAAAACATGTCGTTGATGATTACTGCGCCTCACTTACCCACTATAAGTCGCTCTGTGTCAGGAAGTTTCTTAAAGATTTTACGAAAATCCTCGTTTCGCTGTTTGTACGTAGGACTGAGGACCTGAGGAGGAGAAAAGAAAACACAATATTCTACCTCACAACACAAATAATTTCAGTTTGCTTGACACTTTGATTTAGTTTCAACCAGTTAAACAAGTGAGAAAAACACTGTGTTCATTTAAAAAATAAACACTAAACCAAAATTCCCATTTTACTGTGTCAACTAGTTTTAACTTTATGGAACAAAAAGTAGGAAAACAAAAGCTCAGCAAGAAAAGTGATAATGAGGAGGTTGGTAACATTTACTTACATTGTACCAGCTCTGCATTTTCTGCAAGAAAAAAAAAACAGCTTATTTAGCACTCAAATCTCTGTAGCAATAAAAAGGCAACAGTGGAAAAAGATTTTATACAGGTTTGGAAAACATATGAGCTTACACAGCTCTGGTAAAGTCAATATTTGCCCATCCACACTAACTCTGCTTTATGCAACACTGAAGTTCCGCAGTTTTCAATTGAGACTTTCAGCACTTTCCATTCTATAATGATAAGTGTCACTGAGCTTCTGAAATGAGCAGAAATGAGAGTAATAGGGTGCTTCTTTAATAACAAGGAGCCTGAAATGACTAAGAGGTAAAAGCCTGAACAAAAACTCTTCCAGCTACATATGCTGTCTGGGTAAGTTTACACAGAGCAAACACGCCAACATTTTACAGTCTCCTGATACAAAGAGTCAACACTGGAGGAGCAGATGTGGACAAAATGAAAGCTAACAGACACATTCACTTTTTTATCTGATGGGCATGAGAATTTACAGAAGGACGCTGCTTTTCTGCATGCAGAAACATTTTTAAACTATTTATTATCTATTTATTTCAAGTGTAACTTTAAAAAAAAAATGAAGTTACAGAAATCTGCAAATCGGATTTGGGTGTTCAATGAGCATACACAGAATATAGAAAGTCTTGTTGTAATAATAACTTGTCTAATTTAGTCATGACTAGAGCTAGGTGATGAAGCAACAGTGATGTGTACCCGCAACACACACCTCACAAATACTGTAAGAAAACTAAAAACATCAGATGGAAACCTTGATGTTAAGGATCGATTCATTATTGTGGCAGGTATCTGACATTTTTACGATTATTGGTATTGTTATTTTTATTGACTGATCATTGCGAAATAAATTAAATATGCTACTTTTGCTCTGATGAAACCACCTCTCTGTCTGTAGTCACTCTGTGGTCTCAGCAATGTCTGGACAACAACTCTATCTGATTGGCTGCAACATGTCACGAGTAATAGCCAGTCAACAAAAACCATTAATTACCAACCAAGGCAGATGAGCACATTTGCTGAGTGAAGCAGCTCTGGTGAATCAGCAGAGTCATGTTTGGTTGGACGGTGAGGTAGGAGGTGTTGCTAATGTTTATCAAACACCGCAGTCTTCCCCAAGCATTCCTAATATTACCCAGAAAAGCAAAACAATAATTCACTCGTAGGGTGGTTCAGCTGGAACATATTTTTCTGACACTGCTAGGCTAATGTTATCACTGCGAGGTTTGCTGTGCCGCTAACGCTACCCGGAATATTGTAACATCTTTCTAAAGTCAAATTAACTTTAACACTCTGTTATAACTGACAGACACGTCTCTCTAGCAAAAACCGAACAACTGAACAAGAAGCACAGCCGTCAAAACAAATCAGGACATTAGACACTTTCACAGTGGCTACGGCTATGCTAACAACTAGCAGCTACGTTAGGAGACAGCCACAGATTACACTGAAGCAGAGTCTGGAAAACAATAACTAATAACGCTTTAGGATCTGGACCTTAGAGGGCAATAAAAAAAAGATGGAGCAGAGAAACAATAACAAAACAGAGAAGAATAGTAGATGGAACAACGGGAGACAAACTAATAGATTTCAATTAACCGATCGATCAACAAACACAGGAGAGCATGATAGCCTCACGTGACTCCCAGAGATCATCACTCCTATTTGTATTGTACATATTCAGTATTAGTAAGCCTTAATAATGAAGTAACCTAGTTAAGAATAACAGGCTCACTGCCATCACAAGTGGGTGACATATAACATTTAATGTATATCAGTTTAAAAATAACGATTACAGGCTTTTTTCCATTACCAATAATTAATACCAGACCTGCAAAAAAAATTTGTTAGCCGATCCCCACTTTCTTGCCTAACAGAGTAACCGAGCAGGTGTGGAAGATCGGGGTGTTTATTACAACTACAGTAACGTCTACTACCAGCTCTGTTAGTGTACTCATCTATCCCTGTCTGTAAACAGTAGCTTCCATTGTTGATTGGCTGTTATCTTTAGGTGTGACCAATTAGATAGAGCTGTGAGTGAGACCACCAGCCAAAGTAGAACATTTTATTTATTAGTTAATATAACGATACTGATCAGTAGGAAAATGTCAAATATCAGCCCCAGGAATCGATCTGGCTGATAATCAGTCAATCCCTATACTGAACATCTGAATGTGTGACATGTGGCCTCCATCATGTTGTGGGTTACCTTGGCATTGCGGCTGAAGTGGCGAGAGGCAAGTGGGTAGGCGGATGTGAGGGAGGAGGCGGAGGGTATGGAGGGCAGTGGGCTGTCTGCACCTCCTCCACCTCCACTGCTCTTGTCTCCTCCAGCCTCGCCCTCGCTGGCCCTGCCTCCCCCCAGGACCCTGCGCCGCAGAGAGGGGGAGCTGCCGGGGGTGCTGCGTGGAGAGTTACTGGCCGTGCTGCAGACGACAACAGAGAGAGGGAGGTTAGCTCAGGGGAGAACACCGGAAACTCTTTCATATTTCATCGCCAAGTTTTGCTCCGTGATGCCTTTAATGCAGTGCCATGAAGGAGGGCTGCGGGCGTTTCCTATCTGATAAAAGCATGCCATCTCAGGCTGAAGACCAAACAGAGGCCGTGTAAGGCCAGCGCTGTCTGCAGACAAACTGTAGGGGCGTTTAAAGCCGGTTAGTAAAGGTCTTAAGGCTGTTTAACCAGTAAGTGTGACTATACAATAGGTCACAGATTTATGGAGTGTGTGCTGTAATAAGTGTCCAATTCAATTTTTTTCTTGTGAACAGGTAAAGACTATGGCTGGGATGACTAGTTGTAGTAGTAATAATAATAACTGTTGCAATAATCAGCTACTACTAGTTGACTGTCTTTCAGGTAATTCATTCCTACAGTTTCTGGGTAAACCACTAAAAACAACAATGTGCATTTTACACATAACTTCCTGCAGGAAGGACAACTGAAGCATCAGAGACTTAAGTCTGAACAGTGTAATATCTGTTTAAATTTCATGTGTACTTTCCCTTTTTCATGTGGAATATTTCATTACTGTGCAGTATTACTACTTCATTACAACTTTTCTGGTCCTATTATGGCTTACTTTCTGTTTCCTTTACTATCACAAATCTATCCTACATGTATCTTATTTCTATTAGGCGCTGTACGTACTCTCATGTTGTGCAAGCTTGTTTTTTGAGCAATATTTGGCACAAGAATTTCCTCCTAAGTGTTATCTTATCTGAAATATCTGATGATGACACGTAGGTTGAAGTATTACAACATAGAGTAAAGTGATGCTAAAAGATTTGGTCAAGCATGTTTTCCAGACATTGCTCAACTTGCAAAGAGAACGCTTTGCGGTGTGTCCACCTCAAATCCATCAGAGAGGCTGCATAACTGGACCCAGATACACTGGATGAACTTCTCGTCCCGCACAGCTACCAAAACCTGGTAGGTCAAGCAGGAACCAACACAGTCCAGCAACACTTTTTTCACTTCAAGGCTTTGAATAAACATCTTGCACGAAATCTAGCAGCACCCAAACACTGTTTCCATGTGGTTCACTTTGTTAAAGCCATATTTTCCACTTGTAGTTCTGCTTCTTAAATAAGGTCAGTCTGAAGAATCATTGCTTAGATTTGAACTCATTAATTTACAGTCAAAGCTAGTTGTCGAGTGATAATTTTCATTAGTCAACCCAACCTGAGTAAAAACTGCATTTAGTTGAAAGAAACACCGGAAATACCTATAGGTTTAGATAAAGGCTGTCCTGATTTTGAAGGGATACAATGTGCAGGGTTCAAACAATTAATCAATCCAGTAATCACCTGACAGAAAACAACAACAACTGTGACAATCAACTGTTTTTAATTATCAGGCTACACTGAAAATCTTTGTGGATGGTTGAGAAAACGACAAGAGTGATTTGAGTTTTACATTGCATATGTTAAAGTAAATATTTCTGTCACAACTCCACGTACTTTCAAAGGTGCGTAAAGACGGAAAACGAGGCTAAAAAGGTCACTTGAAAGACGAATCTTTCCAACACATTCTCATTATGATCATCCAACCGTCACCAAAATATGTACATCCAATATATTTAGGTCGGTAACTTGTAAAAACTGCTATATTAATGCCACAATGCCAGATCTTTCAAACGTACATACACAGCTATTTATTATCATCATCTATCTAACTATGTGATGCAATGACCGGTAGAGTCCATGTCAGATGGCCTGTTGAGATCAATAAAAAAATTCTGTTATAGTGGCTCTTTCTGGATTGCAGATCAATTATAATAATGAAGCCAAACCAACATGTACTGTTGGAGCACTCATTGAGAATATTGCATCTTTTCATGCGCTTTAAATGAATGTTGTTTGTAGTTTTTTGCACTGTTTGGCACAGCACATTTAAGATTGTCTGTGCGGTTTGTTTTTATCATTACAACAGTGTTATCATGCCCTGCAAAAGGACTCGCTTTAAAAACAAAGGTACAGCTCAGACTGCGTAAAAACGGGACTGATGTCAAGGCTCATTGTTGAGCAAACAATTAGTTGCTCTGTCAAAAAAAATGTCAGCATATGTTTAAAAGACGTGGACTGGCATTTCCTAAAATGTCTTGTTTTGTCCAAAGATATTCAGTTTACCTTCACAGAGGAGGAAAGAAACCCGAAAATAATCATCTTGACGAAGCTGCAATCAGTATTTTTAAAAGAGACACAAGCTTGGGGCTTGTACTGAATCTGCAGCTAACAAATACCTTCATTATCAATTTATCAATTTATGTGTGTTTTTGAGTAAAGAATAGTTTGGTCTGTTAAAACTCGTGGCAGAGCTTCAAGATTGAAACAAGACCTGCAAAATTTTACCGCCTAGCCACAAAAATGATTATTATCACTAGCGATTAGTCTACTGTTTATTTACTAGATTTACTGATTAGTTGTTTGGTCTATAAAATGTCAGAAAATAGAGAAAAACGTTGATCAGTGTTTCTTAAAGTTTACCAAGATGAAAAAATGTGTTGCCTTGTCCACAACTGTAACATATTTAGTTTGCCAAAAAATACTTACCTAATTAAGGAAGCTGCAATCCAAGAATTTTTATTGTTTTTAGTTCAAAAAGGTACTTAAATTGATCAATCAACCAGTGGCGATTAATGTATCAACAACTAATCAATCAATGGATGCAACTCTCGATGGTTAACCAAGTTTCTGACTGGTGGTTGCACACAATAAGTATTTTTAAAGACATCATCTTTGGCTTTCAGACACTATGATAGACATTGTTACCATCCTGTTACATTTTAGAGACAAAACAACAAAACAATGTCAGAAAAGCGTAAAAATAAGTATGGATCACTGTTTCCTTGAATTTTTCTGAGATGACAAATGTCTTGTTTTGTCCACAACTCACAACACAAGAAAACAAAATGTTCACATGTCATTTAAAATCAATTTCGTTGCAGCTCTGGACTAAAAAAGACATCTGAAGACGGCATTTTAGTTTGTGGATTAGTTTAGTTTGAGATTTTTCTGGGCCTTCTTTTAGAGTTTTCTGGCATTTCATAGACAAAACAGTTAATCATTTGCTGCAGGTAACATTTACATTATCATTTTCTCCATTTTCAAGTAAAGATAATTTAAAATTATTTTTTGTAGTTACACACAAGGCGACTTCTTCAGATTTAGTTTTAATATTTACATTGAAGGAGCTACAATCAAGAAATTTTAGGGTTCCTTCTTGATAGTGAAATATTTATAACAATACCAGCATTAACTCAATATTAAACCGATGAACTGATTATCAATATAGTTGCCGGTTAATTCAATAGTTGCCAGCTAATCGATTAATAGTTGCAGCTCTTGACTAAACAACACATCTGAAAACATTCTCATTCTAGTCTGTGAGAGATTTTTTGGATGATTGTTTTTATATCGTTTTTTAGCATTTTATGGACAAAACTGGTAATCAGTTAATTGACAGTAAAGCACACGTTTGGCCTACAACTAACAATTACGTTCATTATTATTTTCTCCATTTCTATTCTGAAACAAGTGCAAATAGTTAAAAAAATACCTTTAGTAATTTTACAAATCTCAAGGTGACGTCTGCAGATTCAGTTTAATGTAATATGGCAAAAAAAAAAAATAAAATAAAAACAAATGCCAATCTACACATCTAAGGAGCTGCAATCAGGAAATTACACAGTGTTCCTTGGTCATTAAATATTTATAACAATAACAGTAGCAATTTATGATTAAAACGATTACTCCATCATCTAAATAGCTGGCGGTGAATTTAACAGCTAATCGGTTAATGGCTGTTGATGCCTGGAACAAGGAGCAGTGAAGCCAAAGAGCAACGCCTGAACCTTCTGCAACGAAAAGATCCCCCCGAAAAATATGATGTTATCTAAAGCAGCGATGCTAATCAGAGAGGTATTATGACAAGTAGCATTAAGCTATCTTTAGGTGGTGCACACAGGGCAGCAGGTGGTGTAAATAGGCTTGTAGTGCGGGCAGACTGACAGCCAGGACACTGAATGATGTGAATCTGTGTCAGCATGTGTTTACAACCCGGAATAAATCCTCCAGCAGCACCACAGTAAGAGGAAAGCAATGGACACACAGAGCTGCTGCTGCTGCGGTTCACTTCGCTGCTAACGAGCAGCTAGCAAACAACCGCTTCCCTTGAGCTGGTTTCTGTGCAGGATGGAGGCTCAGGTCAGGATGGAGGGGCAGCTTCGGCACAAACAAACCGGCCGTCTGCACCGCTAGCAGGCTGTTGCTGCACCCATCAGCGGGATCTGCAGGACCCGTTTGACCGCGCACCAAGCGCTAAGAGGCGGCTAAAAGAAAAAAACGGCCCTTCGCGCCGCCTCCCCATCACGCCACCGGTGACTCGCTCCGTGCCACTTACTCGAACATGTCATGAGGCTTTTCAGATCCAGCCGAAGTCCACAAAAACACACGTAGCTGCCCGCTATTGTACCAACATGGCACCGGTGTGTGCTGATGAAGCGAGCCAGACGCTGTACGGGGTTGTAAAATCCGCTCCTCCGTCGCGGTTCCCTTCGCTCAGCTTCGGGCTGGAAATGCGCCCCGGTCCGGTATTAATTCCCCATCGCGGCCCCTGAACCTCGTCCGGGACACACCGCTGCACCCTATGCCGATCGCAGGACCCGGTGACGGGCTGCCGTCTTTGCGCCCATCCGTAATCCGTTTGCAACCAGTGAGGGAGGGAGGGAGGCAGGGGGGAGGAGGGGGAGGCTCTATGTGTGGAGGAGGCCTCGCTTTTTACCGGAGGAGGTGCTAAGGAGGGGGCTTCGATAAGGAGGGTCACACTGAGGGGATTCATCTATTTCTGAGGCAAAGGGCTGCAAGAAAACGATGAACACTATTTGCTTTTTAATAATACATAATTCTAAGAAATCAACAGTTCATGAACACTTTTTCTGGGATGAACATTTAGGAAAATAACTGTTTCTGACATTTTTTTAAAAAAATTTTAAAGCTTCGTCCTAATATTACTGAGTAATAAATTTAAACATGTAATAGAACATATCCTAAGACATGGACGGGAACTAGAGCCCAACTGATTCTAATATATCAACAGACAACGTTCATTTTTAGGTTGAACCTGTAATCGCAATTTTTCTAACAGATACTGGGATTTTTTTGTTTTATAAAAAGAAAAAAAAAGGGAGTGTATGTCAGATAAAATAAAAATTTAAAATAAAAATAAAAAACTAATTGCAATTTCTCAAACACAGACTGTGATTTATGAATAAATACAGATAAAGCTTCAGTTCAATATTCACATTTAAATCATGTGATGGAGCATTACCACATAAGAACTATCAGAGTATTAATGGCTCTATACTGTAGTACAGGGAAGAGATTTAGAGTAATTCTGAATTTTTGAGGCCAATATCAAAATACCAATATTGACACACAGACATACATTTCTTTTCAGATACTTTTAGTTTTATGCTTTCTTTAAAAAAAAAAAAACAGCTTTGATATTGATGGATGTTGAAAGTAATTGTAATTTGTCAAACAAATATTACAATTTGCAAAATATATTTTATAACTTCAGCTTAATATTTCCTACATAATAGATTTAAAACATGAAACAGTTTATTCAAAATTGTGATTTCGATCTGAAATCGATTGCTCAGATCCACAGATACTGATAATCAGACAGAAGCTGAATATCGTATCTGATAATTGGTAGTTTAGAGTTACTAGACTGAGATGTAGCATCTGAACACTTCTGAAGGCCAACTATTCTGTCTGTCTGTCTTTCTTTCAGGCACTCTTTAAATGCGGACCATTGAATAGCTGTCAAATTCACCAAGTTTAGTCAGAGCTGATAAAGTAGAGTGTGCTGACAGCGCCGTTTAATTCCTGCCTCTGTGCTATTCGACGAGCGAAAAGAGCAGGCAACTAATGTGGTTTCACTTGGTTCATAATGAAAAGCCTTAAGGTCAAGCAAAGAGACAAAAAAAGCTAAAGAAAAGTCATGCAAAAAATGATCATTTACTGCTTTATTGAATCCACTATAACAGAAAATTTATCATCTGTGGATTGCTGCCAGCTGTTTCGACCAAACAAGCAAACTGAAGGCATCATCTTGTTACAGGCATTTCTGACTAAATCCTGTCATATTATAGACCACATTATGAATCAAGAAAACTATTTGTATTCGATAGGGGTGTAGCGGTACACAAAAATCACGGTTCAGTACGTACCTCGGTACGGAAGTCACAGTTCGGTACGGTACGGTTCGGTTCTCAGTTAAAGGGAAAAATTTAACGAAAAAATAAAAAATAAACCTGCTCATAATTAATCCGAAACATTTGTTTATTGTATTAAACCACAAAGCTGTTAGCAGCTCACTAAATCTAATTAAATGTACAATGTATACAAATGTAACAGGAATACTGCTGCATAGTTCTCAATATCAAATAAACAAAACAAAATAAATAAAACTACAAACTTAATAATTCCAGCTTATTGGTCTGCTGTAAATAGAACTGAATTACTTTTCCAGTATAAAAAAGGAAGACACTGCTGCAAACAACCAAGTTCAGCGAAAAATATAAAAAATAAATACATATTTTTCAAATAAATGAAAGCAGTATTATGCAGCAAAATTTGAGCTTGTGTGCTGTTCATAAATGGGGCAAGTTTGTAAAACATGGCTAACTAGAAGAGCACTCTGAGAGCGCAGACCTCCACCGAGCAGCTCATTTCCACCATATTGTGATTTCTACCAAGTTCTGCATTCATTTGATCTACACTATTAGATTCATGGATAATCAAAACATAGCTTTAGCATTGGAATTAACATTGATATCATCAATAACAAGCTGACAGAGTGAAGAACGGTCTTTCTGTACTCTCTAATATTTTGTACACTTACGTTATTTCTGCAGTTACTTACTGGCTTTAAGCTGTTAGCTAACGCTATGCTAGGTTGGCATAATTACAGCGATGTTGTTGCAAACACAAACAGACAGGGAGTAACTTAAGCTAGGTTAGCACAACTTTAGCAATGCAATGGAAATGAAAAGCATGACCGATGCAACGAAGCACACGTCAGTCGTCCTGACTCATGGCAAAGAGAGTTAAAGTGAAACAGGAGACATGCTGAGTCATTGTTAATGTCACAACGTGGTTATGAACTTATCTGTCAGTAGCTCCACTCAGCCCACTCCTGTGATGTTGCCTGGCTGCAGCTTCCTCATGTACTGCTGAGAAGACAGCGGTGAGGGCTGAGGACTGAATGGAGTGAAAGCTCCAGCACAGTGGGCAGTTAGGTTTGGATGCTGCCTTTTCAAATGAGTGTGTAAGTTTGACGTGTTGTCAGATGCATAGTTGAGGACCGCTTCACAGTGTGGATATACAGCTTTCGTCTTGTCGACTTGTTTTTCTCCTTTTTCATACTTCACCAGGAAACCGTAAACAGGTGATTTTAATGACATCAGAGCGTCTTCCAGCTCTGGCTTAATGTTGTTGTTGCTATCATTAGCCATCTTATTCGCTAGCCATACAGAGTGGGCTTATAATGAAGCGCCAACAGGAGAATAAACGGTCCGTCACATCCTGTGGTCCACTGGAAACTTCTACTTGTTTTTAGCTCCACAATACTGCACAACTGTGAGCCAGAGAAGGTCCACCGCAACTGTGGGCACCAAGTGATTTAAAATTTTGCAATTGAAACAATTCTGTACATTGATCATTCTTAATAGTCTCAAAATTTTCGTACCGCGGTACACGTCTGTACTGAACCAAAAGGGCTTGCACCAAACGGTTCGGTACGACTACATGTATTGTTACACCCCTAGTATTCAATAATTAAAAGAATAATTAGTTCTTTTTTTTAAGTTGATTGCTCCAAATGCTTGTTAATTGGCTAGCTGTCAACTGGGAATTTAATCATCTACTATTTTAATAATCACTTTTTCAGTTTGAGTTTTTCTTTAAGGAAATGAAATTGAAATTCTGTGATTGTAGCTTCTTAAAAGGTGAATACTTTCTGATTTCTTTCCTCCTCAAAGACAGTGAACCCAATATCTTCGACATTTATATTGACATTATAGCCCCAATAATTAATCCATTCACAGAGTAAAAAACGGGATGATTAATAGGCGATAAAAGTAATTGTTAGTTGCAGGCTCAGTTGTTGTGAAGTTGGTTACTTTTAAGAGGAATGTCTGCAGAGATGTATTTAGGTATAGGGTCATACTAAAAAATAAAACACACGATTAAACAGGACTAGCACAGCAAATGGAGAGTCCACCTGGCCGAAGCCCAGAGCCCACCCAATCCCTTCACCCTCAATCTGTGTGTCCATCCCTGTGGATTAAAGTCCACATCATAATCCACGCTGGGCCGAGGCCCACATCTCCACAGCTCCGTCTCTGTGTAATCTGCTTCACCAATGACCCACACCAATGTCAGTTCCATGGGTCCAGTGGGCACTGAGAGGCTGAATGCTTGCATCTTCAGACAGCAGTGAGAGCAGCACAGGATGTGGGTGTGCAGATGTAAACACAACACTCATCTGCCTTTTCCTTCCTCTTGTTGCACATCTCTTAGATTTCAACAGAGCAACAGCAAACAGCCGCAAGTGAATCTCTGTGAGAGAGTAGATCAATGCTTTTGGCCAACTAGAAGCTTCTGGCAAACACATGGAGTCTGCATGATACCCACACTAACCATAATCCAAAACAACACACAAATCTGACTTGATAAACAGATTGAGTTCAACGTGCACAGTAAAAAAAAAAAAATAATAATAATGTTTTGCTTTTAATGTAATTTTTTGAACTTGGAAAATTTTGCTAAATTGCAGATAATATATAGTAAAATGACAAGAAAAATATTAATATCTATGTTAAACAATGCAAAAAATAATAATGTTCCAAAATGTATTTTAAATAATGGTAACATTTTTAAAACGTTTAAATGTAAAATTACCCTTTTTTTTATTTTACTCTACTTAGAAACAGCAAAAAACACTACAGATAATAAATATATATCATATAATATAAATATATAACATTTACAGATATTTGCTGTTATTTAAAATTTAAATAAAAAAAGTAAATGTAAAACACATCAAGAACTGGAATTTTTCCTCAATGCTAATTTTTCTTTTATATTTGACGGTAAATTTACGCTATTTGTTTACTGTATATTGTATTGTAGATATATAGCAAAATCACAAAAAAGGATTAATTTACACATTGACTGTAAAAAAAAGTAATAAATGTCCACATTAAAAATCTGTATTTCTATGAATAGTAACTTTTTCTTTTAACATTGACTATAAAATTCCATAATTTTTACTGTATTTAAATAAGCAAAAAATATTGTTGTTTTGCTGTTACTTAAAAAAAATTAACTTACTGCATGTATAAAAACTGATAAATGATTAAACTGTTTTTGTACAGACTTTCCATGATTTATTTATTATAGATATAGTAAAATCTCAGAAAAAAATCTGCTATAATTTGCATGTTGACTGTTTTTTTTTTTAAAAGACCAAAACCAAAAATAATGTCCACATCAGAAATCAGTATTTTTGCAAACAGTAATCTGTTCACA